AAGGGGAGGAAGACAGTCCTGAGCTGTGCCTGCTGGTTTATCTGTTGGTAAGCCAGCCTCTTACACAGACTCACGGTGATCCATCCCTGCTGTGGACATCCCAGCTAGGCTCCCACCTTCTACGAGTCCTGCCTACTCAGCCCTGCCCACGGACCACACCCATCCCAAAGTCCCCGCGGACCACGACATATGAAGTCTCTCCAGCAGTTTCCTGCTCCTTTCTCTTGCCCTCTCATTCAGTATCGACACTACCCAGGAAGCAGATAAAGCGGAAGGCTGAGCGATGAGGATGGGGCTGGACCAGACAGGAGAGACCATGGCCAACCCCTGACCCACAGCCCCTGACACACAGAGCAGACCCCACTGCCTCCCCTTTAGTCAGCCAGCTCCAAACGAGCACCATTTAGGAAGTCACAGACCAACAGCAGTGACGCAGCTCACGCTGGACCAGTGCCCTCTTCCGGGGAGGACTGAGCAGGCGATGGCAGTGTCACAAGGACATTCAAGACCCCCAGGAAACAAGCACACTTAGATCTCGGTGAACAGTTTACCATCTGAATTATGGAGGCAAGAGACACTTCTCCTTTTCTTTTTAACATTCCAGCCTTCACTGCCTGTTCAAAACCAGCCGCATGTGTTTATGGCGTTGATTTGCTGTTGGCCATTCAGGCACAAGAGCAGAGGGTAAAGCTTACCCCATCCCCAGAGGGCCCCTATGGCGGGGAAGGAGTCACACATGCTCAGAAAGGCAAGGCGAAGGGAGGCACAGACAGGTAGGTGGTGAGGACCGACGGCCAGGGGTCCATGTACCCATGGACTGCCTAGGAGAGGCAGTCGGCGGGGTCCATGCCCCACCCCACCCCCGAAGCTCAGGACAGCTGTCCACAGGGAATTTGGGAAGAACACAAAAGGCCAGCCACCTGCAGACATTTGGCTTCCTGCCTCTGGGGCAGCTCAAGTCACACAGCGAGCCCTTTTGGCAGACCAACACCTTGTTGTTAGAGATATGTATATATTTTGAGTGTTTGCCTTATTCCATTAGAATAGGGTTTCTTCATCTTTCTGAGAGAGCTTTGGGCATCTCTGAGTAGCTAATGAAAACCACGGAGCGTCTCTCCAGAAAAATGCACCCACAACATCGCGGGTACTTCCTCATCTGGTTCAAGGGCCTCCCGCAGTCCCGGGTCAAGAAGGCCCATCCCAGATCCAACAGCACCCTTGAGGGAGGGCAGGGAGGGCTTCGCATCCCCATTTTACAGATGTGGAAGTGAGAAGTAGTGTCTGGGGTAGCACAGCTACCTGAGGACACGATGGGATGAACGCTTGATCTCCTGAGTCAGGCCGTCTCCGTAAATTTGCCTGCGGCTCTGGGGTGACTCTCAAATTAAACCACCCCTGCCTCAGTTCATCTGGTCTCCTGTGGCTACAGAAAGAAAGACCCTGTGAGAGTCATGATTCCATGACTCTTCTGCAGATTCCTGGCCTGACCCTGGGCTCTCCTAGCACCCTGTCCCTTCCCCTGGACCCCTGGCCAAGCACAGCAGCAGGGTCTCCTGGCCGCCCTCTGCCACCCAGGCCCCTCAGGGCAGGGCAACCAGAGATGCTGGTTCCCAGCTGTACCCAGCAGCCAGTGGTACCGTGTCTCCAATCAGAGGATTTGAGACCCCTCAGGACATCCCCACACCCAGGCTTGGTTCAGCCAGGGCCTGGGATCAAAGTGCCAACCTTCTCCCGGCCACACACATCAGCACAGAGTTGGGAACCACCGACGCGGCTCTCGGTCTCTCCTCAGTGACTACTTCCAGCAGCTCAGGGAAACTGAGCACCGGGGGTGAGATGGGCGGAGGGAACGGGGGTGGGGAGGGAGGAGAAAGAGGAGTAGAGAGAAAGAGGGGGATGCAGAGGGGGTGAGGAGGGAGGGTGGAGGGGACGCTGGAAAGAGGGAGAGAAAGTGGAGGGAGCGAGAGGACGCGAGAAGCAGGAGAGAAGCAAAGGAAGCAAGGAAGGAAGGGAGGAAGGGAGGAAGGGAAAAACCAGGCCAGTCGTTTGGTGGACTGAGAAAGGCTCCCTACACTCGCCTCCAGAATGAAAACGGAGGGCTTCTGGAAAAGCCTCTTCTGCTCTCAAGTCCAGCCTCCTGGGGTGACCCAGAACCTTCCCCAACACCGTCCTGTACTCTAGATCAAAAGCCCCTTAACACAGGCTCCAATCAGGTGTTTCTGAGGGTGACATTCCAGACCATTCCCCAGCACTGGGCCCCTTTTAATCTGCCAAACACTGGTAGCAGGAACATGTTCTCACAGACGTAACCTCCCCCGGGGCCGAGCAGAGAGCCCCCAGCACTTCCCCATCAGCCCGAGAGGCAGGACGCCCCCTCCCCCAAGCCCTCTCTTTACCCAACCAGGTCCAGGGACCCTTGCAGGAGATGACTAGGCATTTCCCTTTCTCCCCTTCCCAATCTGGTCTTAAGAGCTGGAATTGGGGCCCTGCAGCCCTCAAGATCCCAACCGAGGGCTCCTGGAAGAGGAGCCTAAAAGAGGACTGTCTTAGCAGGTGGAAGTGATTCAGAAGGAAAAACAAAGAGAGAAATGTAGCAGTAATGACTCCCTGGACTGCAGTTAGAATGGGAAGTGAGGGAAAAAGAGGAAGACGGCGGGAGATGGGTGGAGGAGGAGCAGGCAAAGGACAGGCCCCGGGGCTGCTCGCTGGCCACCGGTCCATGTTTCCATGCGCAGAGCCCGGGCTGAAGGGAAGACATTCCAGCACCGCCTGGCCTCCCCACAGGCACAGCACTGACGGGTGTGACCTCGAGCAAGAGGCCCGGCAGGTGGGCAGGCGTGGGGACACTTACGCACAGATGTCTTCTGGCTGTTATCCTTGCTGGGCATCAGCTTCACGCCTCGAGACTTCAACTCAATTTGCTTCTTGACTAGAGAGGAGATAAGAAGAAAAAGAGTTTGAATTGTTGCCCATTGGGTCCCTGTAGAGTGATCCCCTCTTGTGGCTTGGGACATTCTATGGTGGATCAAAGCCAGAAGCTCCTCTGGACAGGGACACA